GGGGGCCATCCCTGGAATGGAAAATTTATATACATGCTTACCTGAGGTTCATTCCCCTGCATTGGGCTTGCCCATGCTCTATTGACAGGACTGGCTGGACTGCAGTGGAGTCAAAAACAGGTCCTAGCTTGCTGTGCAGCTGGATCCAGTTGCCTGTCTCCCATCCTCCTCCTCTTCCTTGTTCACCCCCTCCTCCTTTTTGTTCACAGCAGAGACCTGTGATTTGGGCTCCTTGGAGATATAGATGGTTTAGCTCATTGTAAAAGTGGCAGGTCTGCGGCTTGACACCGAATTGATTGTTGGCCTCCTGGTATGCCTTCTGAAGCTCCTTGGCTTTCACGCAGCACTGTTGCTGGTCCATTATGCCCCTTCTCCTGCATACCCTGAGCACAGCCTCTTCTCCCCACAGGCCCAGGAATTCCAATATATCTTGTCTCCTCCAGGTCGGAGCACATCTGGAGTGTGTAGCTGGTATGGTCAGCTAGGCAGTTGCACACAACAGCGGAGAGCTGTTAGGTGTGCTCTTCTCGCTAGGCAATCAGGAAAAGGAATTTCAAAAATCCACAGGGCTTTAAAAGGGAGGAGTGTCTTCCAGTCTACGTGACCCCTGGGCAGTGGAATTCACAATGGTGACCAGAGCAGTTAGTGTGGGACAACTACTGGAGGACTGTTAGGGTTGACAAAGGTAACAGAGTGTCTACATGCGTGCTGTGCCAACCTCTGTACATAAACCTTGGCTCAACACCACTCCGGGAGGTGGTGTTATTATGTCGGAATAACAGGCCACTTACTCAGTCGGAAATAAATTTAAGTGTAGACACATGCACAACTGGGTCGATGCAAGACTCCTTACATCAACATAATTTATAGTATAGACCAAGCCTAAGAGTTATGTTGCTTCCCAGTTAAAGTGGGATAAGATGCCAGCTAAATAAAAAAAGAACTTTTGTGTGTCAATGTAAGGGAGTTTATGATGAAAAACTGAAGTTTATCTATATGGAAAAAACTTTTCTGTGTAGACAAGCCCTTAGCATTTATAAGTTCATGAATTAGTTTATTAACTGAAATTAATTAAAATGGGTTCTTCAATAAATTTATTATCAGTTGTCTAACTTCTTTTTAATATCTGGAATAATTCATAGATGATCAAAATGGCCAGAAGTGACCATTTTGATCATCTAGTCTGACCTCCTGCATAGCACAGCGATAGAATGTCACTCAGTGACATCAAGCCCATTACTTTTGGTTGAGCTAACAATAATGGAAAAATGCAAACGCTTCAAACTCCAAAATACAGTTAAAACTAACTGAAATTTTATGCTTGGCTATATTTGAAGGTGGTGTTTTTTCTTTTTCTTTTTTGGTTGATCACTTTTGCCATTATTTTAATAAATGACAGTTTCTCATTCTACTTCAGAAAATTTGACAGTGAACTGCCCCCTTTCAGAATGGCTGCTATCTCCTACTGTTTTCAATGAGATTGAGGCCACATGCTGTGCTTAGCCAAAATAGCCACTCTCTCTATTCACTGGCTTCTCATAGTAGGGTTACCATATGTCCGGTTTTTTTTTGGTAATCAAACCCCCGTCCGGGGGGAATTGCCAAAAAGCCGAACATGTCCGGGAAAAATACCGCCGGCCGGGCACTTCCCCTCCCGCAGCTGCTGTGCTCCCTACCTTTACTCTTCTGCTCTGTTTAAAGCTGAGCTGCCCGAGCACTACCGGATTCGGGCAGCCTCCATGCTTCTGGACGCTGAGCCGCCGGCCAGGCACTTCCCCTCCCGGGCTCCAGCTGCGCTGGGGAAGCGCTGGCTGGGGGCGCAGGGTCTGGGGGCTGCCCAGCAAACCGTGAAGCCGGTAGCGCTCAGGCAGCCCTTTTTGCGTGGCTGGGAGGGAGGAGGGGGAATGCGGGGCGCTCAGGGGAGGGGGCGGAGTTAGGGCGGGGACTTTGGGGAAGGGGCGGGGAAGGGGCAGAGTTGGGAAAGGGGCGGGGCCAGGGCCCCGTGGAGTGTCCTCTTTTTTTATTTTTTAAATATGGTAACCCTACTCATAGTCCTTTTCTCCATTTCCTGATAGCATAGGGAGACACCATCTTTTGGGAGGACAGCTTCGTTTCACTCCCACAGGAAGCAATGGGAGCCAGTACCTGTTTTGTAAGAAGGCATCTTAATGAAAGGTAGCCTGTGGCCTCAGGCCCATTAAAGACAATGGGAAATGGTGGCCATTTTGAAATGTGACTCGTCATATGTTTCTGTTGAGATTTTATTCTTCAGCCTCTGATGACAGATACATTTCAGTTATGAAAATGCCAGCAAAAATAACTATTAATCTTAAATATTTATTTTAAAACTATCACCCACTGCACCAGATCTACTCAACAGAGAGGACAAGAGGAAATAGAAAACTTGCAGTGTGTATGAACAGTGGTCAGAAATAGGACTTGTGTGTGCAGGGGAGTATAGAGAACAGTAGGGAAGAAGAAAATGGGATATATCTCCTGTTGACTTGCACTGCTCTTGCAATGCAAAGCAGCTGTAAACCTAGTTTAACTGGCCAGTATGCCCTGGCTGCTTTGTGTTGCTCCAGAACAGCCTAAAGCAGCCAGAGTGTACCGGTGTTACATATTTTTAATGATTTCCAGTTCATACGACATACCTACAAATCATTAGATGAATCTCAGAGAATCATTACTTTTGACTTTCTTGTTCACGTTGAAATTTTTAATAATTTAAAAAAATAATCATAAACACCCATATGAAAATTCACAGACAAAAATGATGTGAACTTGGAGTTAAGGTTCACAATGCTTGACAGTAATTTAGGGTAAAATATATTACAGAGATGTTGTGATTATCCCAACCCCAAACATTACAGAGTTGAAGCGGGAGCTGTGGGGCTGAAACCACGAGCCTCAGTGCCCCACCCCCTCCTGGGGCAGAAGCTGGAAGCTGGGCCTCTGCTCTGGGGCTGAAGCCCCAAGCCCCAGTGCCCTCCACCCCTGGCTGAAGCCAGAATTGGTGGGGCTGAAGCCCCAACTCAAGCAGAAGCCCTGAGCACATGGGCAGAGTTGAGGGGGCACAAGGGTGTTGCCGCCCAAAACTACAGTGCCTTACCCAGAGTGGGGCAGTCCCAGGGGCAGCTCCACTCCCTCACCTCCTCCTCTCCCCCAGTCCTCCTAAGGCTCTGCTCTCTGGCCAGGACGTAGACAGAGGGGAAGCTGGAGCCAGGCAGTGCAGGGAAGCTGCTCCTCTGGCTGGTGGTGCCACAGAGCGGGCAGCCATAACATTCCTGTGTCTGCTGCTAGTGCCCAGGGATGCAGCTGCTCCTCAGCTCCCAGCCACCTCTGACTGCTCACGCAGCCTGTAAGATCTGCCCGGGCGGGGGACCTGGCTCTGGGGCCAGGAGAGCCCTTGGGGAGCAGCCACCCCAGGGGGAGCCCTCCCAGCACACAGCCTCTAGCTACCCCTCTCCCTGCACCCTGAGCTACCCCCCTGCCTGCACACAGCCCCTAGCTACCCCCTTCCCTGCACCCTGCGTTACACCCCTCACTGCACACAGTCCCGAGCTATCCCTTGTCTGCACCCTGAGCGGTTTTCAAACTTTTTGAGCTGAGCCCCCCATTTGAGTTATATGTTTTGGTTGCATCCTTCCACAATCCAGACAGGGTGGGTGGCCTGCTGAGATGAGTCAGAAAGTGGAGGTGGTGCTTCCTCCCTGGACCCTGCTGTGCGGAGTTGGCTCAAGCCCCGCCAGCCCTTGCCACCCCAAAATACAAGTCAACCTACACCTATGCCTGCATAAGGGTCCCACCCCTGGCCCGGAGCCCCGAATCTCCCTCTCCCACCCCTGCTGGGCCCTGGAGTTTTTATAGCATGTTGAAGGGGCCCTCAGAAAGAAAAAGGTTAAGAACCCCGGCTATAGGGCATCCAAACAACCTTAACTTCATCCTGAAGAAATAAAGGAGGAAAACAAAAGAGAAAGAACAAAATCTAATATGTCTTTAAAAATCAGTTTGATTTAATCTGAAACCACAAATATTAAAATGTTTTAATCAGATGCTCATTCTGTGGTGTCATTATGGGGTAGAGTTACGGTTATTTGGGTGCACTAATTGTTCATATCCATACCTTAACATATTTGGATTTCAATTTAGTTTAATCTTAATTTTGAATTTTCTGGATTTATAGTGCTTTGTTTTGGGATAATTACAAACATCTCTGTAATATACTTTACCGTAAATTACTTATATGTACTCTCAAACTTAGCTCCCTCTTAATGTAGTCATCTTAGAATTTAGATTTTTTTTGAGGCTACATTAAACTGGAATAATGACTGTGAAACCCAGGGTGCTACACAATCAATAAATAAAGTACATACAAACGTTAATTTAAAATGTAATTTAAAAATATAAACGTGAGATGACTAAGCCAGAGAAGGACATTATATATTATATGTAACCATCAGTCAAGACTCTTCTTCCAGTTACACCAATGTAAATCAGGAATAACTCCACTAAATCAGTAGATTTACATCAGCGTGAAACTGGTATGACTGGGTGGATAATCAGTCCTTTCATCTTTACAAGTATTTTGAACCTCTGCTGAGAAAGGTGTGGCCAACACACAGCCCACACAATACATGAAGCTCATGGAGTTTAACTATGTTGCCTGGACCAGGTGTGGTCTACAGAGACTGCAGGCCCCATTATAAAATGCTCATGTGCCCCTTTTGACTAGAGGTTCTGGGCCAATATATAGCATTGCATAATGGCCATGGAGCTACAGTGGGTCGAACCTTCATATGCAAAATGAGAGCAGTCACAATCTGCTACAGTTAATGTTAATGCACATGAGGCAGAGTCCTCAGGCTCCTAGTATATTTACTCTCAAGTGTAGTGAACATCACTTCGTCTGCATCTTCCACACTTCCTCTATCTAGAAAGGACAGAGATGTGCCATTACAATTTTTGGTTTAAAACCATAACAAAAGAAAATCTGTTACCTTTTCAGATTCACCATTGCCCAGGGAATGCCTGTGGGTGTGTTAAATGCCGGAAGGAGCTTTCCTGCCAGCTGCACTGCTTTGAGCTTGAACACCTGTGACAGTAGACAGAAGGATGAATTTCTAACAAACCTGGTTTTCTTTAGTTTACCATAAATTAAAGAGAGATTGTTACTTTAAAACATATATATCCCCCAATCCCATTAGGAAAACTTTAGATTATCAAAAACAATTTTTTTCTGTTCTCTTTTCACGTTTATGATTTAATTTTTACTAGTTCACTTTCCACATTTCACTAAGATTTGAACATGAAGTTTCAATTTTGAGCTTTCATGCTCAACAGTGCTGCTCCTTGGATACACACTGAAGAATATGAAAAAAATCCAATTACTATTATTTGCTGTTGTAACCATGTTGGTCCCAGGATATTAGACACACAAGGTGGGAGAGGTAATAGCTTTTATTGAACCAACTTCTGTTGGTGAAAGGCACAGTATTTCAAGCTTACACAGAGCTCCTCTTCAGGTCTGGGAAAGGTACTCAGAGTGTCACAGAGACCATTAACTCCCCACTTCACCTTGAATAGTCTCTTGCGACCTGTTAACTCTTCATGCTTAACAATCTGTTCTACTTTGTATTTGGCTGTAACACTCTGAGTACTTTTCCCAGACCCGAAGAAGAGTTCTGTGTAAACTCAAAAGCTTGTCTCTCTCACCAGCAGAAGTTAGTCCAATACAAGATCACGTCATCCACCTTATTTCTCAATTAATATTAGGTATTTGAAAATATCTTCCAAAACTATCTTTAAAAAAATCTCAGCTTAAGATTTCTCCCTAAGTCTGATTTTGCAGAAGGATTAATTCTGCTCAGTCTCTAGTCTAGGTCCCTCTGTCTCATAAGAATGATTCCAAACCATTTTCTATACGGCTGGAGCTAACAAAGCCCACCTAAGAACAGTCAACAGTAATTAATCTGCATCTTTATGCAGTATTCTAGCACCTGAATTTAGGATGGTTCACCTATGCAGGGTTCTGGAACCTGTCACATTATCACAGTATCTGTGGAAACCACACCAGAGTCTATGCTTGTTCTATTTTGTATTATTAAATGAAAAAAACGTAGTTAACCCAGAGTTAAGGTCCTAAAATTGATTCCTGTGGAATTCTGCTGGAAACACCCCCATCTGATGATGATTCCCCATTGATTACTACTTTTTGAGATACGTCAGCCAGTTCTGAATTCATTTAATATGTGCTTTATTGATGCTGTAGAGTGCTAATTATTATTTTAAACAGAATGTTTTTGGCACGGAGTCAAATGCTTTACAAAAGTCTAAGTGTATTCAATGACAAAAATCTACATTAACACAGAGTCAAGGTTGCTTGGTGGCATGTTGTCCCCTTGCAGAATGTTGAGTTGAGCAAAATTTAAACTTTTGAAAATCAGGAAACACTCAGTTAACATTGCATGGGCAACCTTAACTCTGCCCTCTTTCAGAAGTGTCCCAAAATGCCCCATTAACACACATACCTTTACTCTGCCAACCCCACAGTTGATGAAATGTACCAGCTCTTCACCTCTTTTTAAAATCCATTCCCTCTCACCTACAAGATTCCATCTAACTCTATTAAAGGGTGGGGGAGGGCTGCTCATGCTACTTTCTCTCTATGCTCTTTGAACAATGCCTCAATATGCACATAGCACATACTCACCCTGGCCCGTGGCATTATAAGATTCAGGAGGTTCCAGATCCCAGTGTAACTCACACACTTAGCCAACTCCCCAGAAAGAATATCACGGGTACAATTTAAAAACCACTTCACAGCCTTTTACAACTTCCTTACACTTATTCACAGGATATTATCTCAACCTACATTTTGCTTAACCATGATTAAAGCACTAGAATTCTCTCATATTCCTGCTCACTGCTGACAATATCCTTTGTAATAAAAGCCTTATGCCCTGATACTGACAAAACCTACACATATTTGCATATTTGTAATGAAGTGTGAATTTCCTGTAATATTTGCTTGAATCCTAGGTGTGCCTCGTTTTCCCCTATACTTTGCATTGCTACTCAGTAGGGAAAAAATAATTAAGTTTGCTCTCATGGCTGACTAAGGCCTTGTCTACTCTACAAACAGTGAATGCGTACACTGCAATGTGACTTTTGGCAGCAAAAACGCCCTGTTTTGGCAAAAAAATACAATCACCCCGACGAGAGACATAAGTCTTTTTCCTCTAAATTTTTGTTGACAAAGTGCTGGTGTAGGCACCACGCTTGATTTTATCGCTTTAATTGGCCTCCAGAAGGTGTCCCACAATGCCCATCGTGACCGCTCTGGTCAGCAGTTTGAACGCCACTGCCCTGCAGCCAAGTAAATGACCATCTGCCCCTCCCCCTTAGAAGGCCCCTTAGAATTTTTGAAATTCCATTTGGCATGGAGAGGTCTCATCGCATCTTCCCAGGTGACCATGGCAGGTTATTGCAGCAAACGCTCTCCCGCTTGAACTACTGCGGAGCTCCTGGATCTGCTCATATAACTTTTTTTTTTTTTTCCTCTTACTTAATTGGCCTCTCAGAGTTGGTAAGACAACTCCCACCTGTTCATGCTCTCTGTATGTGTGTATATATATCTCCTCAATATATGTTCCACTCTATATGCATCCGAAGAAGTGGGCTGTAGTCCACGAAAGCTTATGCTCTAATAAATTTGTTAGTCTCTAAGGTGCCACAAGTACTCCTAATCATGCTTCTGTGCATTGTTCCTTGTGCTTTGGAAGATGTGACCTTCAGGTGATCCATACACACCAGCTGAGCGTCTCCCCCAGATAAGAAAGTGCCCAAGACAGAGCAAAGAAGACCTGTTCTGGGAGGTATTGCACTCTTCCAATGCAGAGAAAAGGGAACAAAAGGATTGGAGGGAAGCCGAAAGGCAGGACAGAAAAGAAAATCAGGTGTTTGTTAAGGACACTACTGAATGGATGATTAAAGTAATGGAGGTGCAAAGGCAGATGCTGAACTCCTTAATAGTGCTGCAGACTGAGCAGATCCATGCCTGCCCTCTCCTGCACAGGGCCGGCGCCAGCGTTTTTGCGGCCTCAAGCGGCAAAAAAAAAAAAAAAAAACAAGCCGCGATCGGCGGCAGCTTTACCGCTGCCTCTTCTTCGGCGGCAATTTGGTGGCAGGTCCTTCCCTCTGAGAGGGACTGAGGGACCCGCCACCGAATTGCCGCCAAAGACCCGGACGTGCTGCCCCCTCCGTTGGCCACCCCAAGCACCTGCTTGCTGCGCTGGTGCCTGGAGCCGGCCCTGCTCCTGCAGCACATTCAGAACTCTTTTCCGTGCCTCCCCCACCCCCCAACTCCACCCGCGCAGTCCTTTCCACTTTCCGGGACTTCTCGGTTTCCCCTTGGCTCCACCCCATTCAGACAACTTTCATAATGATAGCTGGACCTACACACAGCTCTGGTGTCCTTGTGCCGCAGTGCTGGGGTGAGCTCCACATACAGTTCCAGGAAGGTGGCTTTCTGCATCCAAAAGTTCTGTAGCCACTGCTTGTCATCCCACACCTGCATGACAACATGACCCGACCATTCAGTGCTTGTTTCCCAACCCCAAAAATGACGTTCCACTATGTTCAGCTGTTCTGCGAATGCCAAAAGCAATCTAAATTTGCTCCTATCCATATCACACAGCATGTCAGGCAACTGGGAGTCTTCTTCAATTAGGAATTTTGCAATTAACTGCACTGCCAGCCACGATGTCTTCATGACAGTTAACAGAGCATAGGAGAGTAATGCGGGATCCATCCCTTCTCATAAAGATGCCAGGGTACACAGCAAAGAAGGGCCATTGAAAAATGCCATGAAAGAAAACCGGAAGCCCATCAAGTGCTGGGACAGAAACCAATACATCACAGGACATTGAGCCAGGTCCCAAGATGTGCCGTGATCTGCTCCACCTTCCCACAACACCTAGCGACAGATGGTATCGAGCTGGACTGTGGTACCCACAGTGCAATGGTCACACTGTCGATGATAGTGCCCCAACTGTGGACGCGCTCTGCCAACTTTTATTATGCCGATTTCTGAGTGTCGACATCAATTTTGTCAACAAAACTTGGTAGTATAGACAAGGCCTAAGAAACATAGGTCTGTGTGTCATATCTCTGCCTGGGTAGAATCAGTAAGGAAATGACTGAAATCAACCCAAATCAACAAGGGGTCCAAGAGAAACAATTTGAGAAACAGGGATTGATACTCTCAGTAGGGAAGCTGAGCAGAGACCCCCACTCAAGAACAAAGGGCTAAGAGGTGTGAGATGGGAGAATAAGTGAGGGCTCTGGAAAAAGACTGTGGGCTCTCTCACCTGGGAACTGACTAAGGCCTGGTCTACACTATGAGTTTAATTCGAATTTATCAGCGTTAAATCGAATTAGCCCTGCACTCGTCCACACAACAAAGCCATCTGTTTCAAAATAAAGGGCTCTTAAAATCGAATTTCTGTACTCCTCCCTGACGAGGGGAGTAGCGCCGAAATCAATATTGTCATTTTGAATTAGGGTTAGTGTGGCCGCAATTCGACGGTATTGACTTCCGGGAGTGACCGCTCTGGACAGCAATCAGAACTCGGATGCACTGGCCAGGTAGACAGGAAAAGCCCCGCGAACTTTTGAATTTTATTTCCTGTTTGCCCAACATGGAGAGCACAGGTAACCATGCAGTCTGATAATCGAAAAAGAGCACCAGCATGTACCGTATGGGAGGTACTGGATCTGATCGCTATATGGGGAGAGGATTCAGTGCTAGCCGAACTACGTTCGAAAAGACGAAATGCCAAAACTTTTGAAAAAATCTCCAAGGGCATGATGGAGAGAGGCCACAATAGCGACTCAGATCAGTGCCGCGTGAAAGTTAAGGAACTCAGACAAGCCTATCAAAAAACAAAGGAGGCAAACGGTCGCTCCAGGTCAGAGCCACAGACATGCCGCTTCTACGCTGAGCTGCATGCAATTCTAGGGGGGGTTGCACCACTACCCCACCTCTGACCATGGATTCCAAGGCGGGGGTAAACTCAGCCACACCTGAGGATT